AAAAAATTATTTATTTGACTATTCCTTTTACCTCCTTTACCAGCACGCAAATTTGATTGCCTTCGTAAATAATGAAACTGTAACTGCTTCAAGTTTCTCAAACCTTCTCCACACCCCAATCGTCCTTATCTTCTTGTTGTTAGCTGTAAATCTGTTACCAAACCTTCCATAATTATTCCATGTGAGAACTCCTCGCTCATCCATCCTTCACTGTTGCTTCCTTTGTCTCACCTGCTGGAAATGACTTTTTGATACCAACTATCTTGGGAACTGGTATGATGTTCTGATGCGTGGCGATCGTAACACCGCGCAGACTTATCTAAAGACAGCCTTATCCAGGGCACCTTACGGTGCGATTACGGGTTCCACTGTGAGTGGTTCTTGGCTTAAAATGGTTCGCTGTCAAAGAAACCCTGCAAGGCAAAATCATGGGTCTTTGCTCGGGTCAACCGTGTGCTTGCGAAATGGTTCAGAAATTCTGAGAGGAATGAGGTTCTTCGTAGTGTTCGCGATGAACCACTACCATACTCAAAAATGTTTCCTTTGTTCAGTTTTTCTTTCGTTTGGTTCGTTTTTACATTACAGCAGCTATAGTTGCTGATGGTGTTGATATGAATCTCGTAAACATCTGTTTCGTGAGCTTCGTTCTCATTTTTCGTTCAATTTTGCACTAAAAACTCGTGGGAAGAATCGTATCAGATAGTAGCAGTACTCCACAGTAGTACTATTATCTCAATCTAAATAATTGGCCTCGAGAATTTTTTGGCACACCTCTTCCTTTCAGGGGGGCGTCGTTTTGTTATTGCTTCTGGCTTGCTTCAACGACTGGTATGTTTTACTATTCATGTGATTCACACATTCCTTGTTTGGCCTGTCCAGTGCGTCCTCTGGTGTATCAACGATCAGCAGGTTCCTTCTTATTCATGTCCACCCAGTTTAAGCACTCCTAGTTCCTCCTTACTAAATATTTGGCAGCTCGCCTTTCTCTATACGCTGAATTATGAAGCCACCACTGCATTCATTTTGAGCACTCTTACCACAAGCTTACTCTTCGCTTCCCTGCTTACTCCTCAAGAAAATGAGAAAGTTTTAGTTAGAGTTTCGGTTTTGTTACTGCGGCTGCTCTCACAACACTCGAAATTCTCTAGCTCATTCGGAAGAAGCAAGTAAAAGTTTATTCGCGAATGGCTCAAAGGGCAATGTTCAAACATTAGAGAACCCAAATCGAAGAAGATTCCTTATGTGACTCGTGTTTCTACAGTGCCCGTTTCGTACTTGGCCCTGGAGTTTGCCTCATATAAATCTCGCCAGCGGATTCCGCTATTCTTGAGCATCCTGATAAGAGCCCTGGTAAGAACGTTCACCATCAGATCTTGAATAGAGCAGCCATAGGCAGCTTCTGTTCTGCCTATGACGTCAGTTCTGCTAGGTTATTCATTATTTGGAGAGCTAAAAGTCTAGCTTCACCTGTCGAAGGATTCTGATCCAACTGAACATCATCTGTGTCACCTGTACTCCCGTTGATCATCGAGTTCCTCGAGCGGGCGCCAGTAACGTCTCCATTCGTCCCTGCAAGAGTTGCCCAATGGACTCTCTCTGCTCGAGGGACACGATGAACTTCATACCATTCGTTCAGAGCTTTCACGAAGAAGTCTGACCATCGCATAGGCGGTCGTCCAGGCGTTCGCTTGACATCCCGTGGAATCCAGTCGGTGATCGCTCTGGTCCAGCGGTCGTCCTCGAAACGCATGACGTGTCCGGCCCACCTGATCTTCGAAACCTTGGCAAATGCGGCGGCGTCTCTGATCTTCGATCGTTGGCGGAGTGCGGAGCTCCGGATTCCCTCTCTCACTTGCGTGTAGCGGGAAACTCCGAGCATCGCCCTTTCGATGGCGCGTTGAATAACGCCAACCGCATGCTCATCCTGCTTTCGTAGAGTCCAAGTCTCTGAGGCATAAGTCAAGGCAGGAAGGACCGCGGAATCGAAGAGGTGGGCACGGAGCTTGGTGTTCTTCGTCTTCTTCGCTACTCCCTCGATGTTCTTGAAGGCTCCCCAAGCCGCTCGCTTCCTCCTGCTCAGCTCTGGAGCTAAGTCATTCATCATATTGATTTCACGACCTAGGTACACATAGCTAGAGCATTCAGAGATGGTCGTTCCGTTGAGCGTGAATGGGGCATCAGAAACCAATCCGTTTCTCATGAACATCGTCTTCGTTAGATTCAGCCGTAGACCGATTTTTCCACACGCGCAGTCGAATCAGCCAGCATTCGTTCCGCTTGCTCGATGTTTGGTGTTATCAAAACGATGTCGTCAGCAAAGCGGAGATGGTGTAGTTGCCGACCGTCGATCTTCACTCCCATGTCTTCCCATTCCAGTTGACGCATGACGTTCTCGAGAGAGGCGCTGAAGAGCCAACTGAACATATAAGCGGCAAAATTTAGATAAAATAGCAAGTACCAAGCACATAGAAGAAGAGCACATGGCGATGCCTTGCTAGGAAATCACCTCAACCTCGAAGGCACAGTCTACGATGTGAAGTGTTTACGGCGAAGTCTGAAGGCGGGGTCACTGCGAAAAAAGGAGATGTCAGTGGGGGGCTTTGCGCCTTGGCGCCTCTGCTTGACTGATTTTCTCCACGGAACTGGTCCAAGATTGCGCAAACCGATCACACTATTCTCGCACAATCTTTTGAATTTCGCAAACAGTTGCGGACCGTTCCTTTAGTGTGTCACCGTAACGACAAGACACCAACAAAGGCTCTTAAAAGTATTGCCCATTGAACTTTGAAGAATGAATGGCTGGAGTTCAAGATGCTGTCAAGAATCGCAAAGAAACACTTTTTTTCACTGCTCAGCGATATGTTAAGCTCGAGACCAGCGTTTTCCGTATTCGAAAAATGTTCCTGGTCCACCGATGAATGTCGGCAAAGAACTGCTCCATAATTTTGCCTTCACTACCATTTAGCGTGTCAAAGCTAATTCTATTGTGAGAGCATGTTTTGGAATGGAGGATACATGGAGAACTGCCTTTGGACGAGACGTGAGCACACCTTCACATGTTACCACCGAGGAATTATGGCTTCCCACTTGGCTTCGCCCTAATATATAACCAGAGCAACAGTTGCCCTGAGGGAGGTGAACGAATAGCCTGGTGTTGCTTGTTGATTAAGAGGGAAAGGAGAAAGCTCTAAAGCCATATTAGAACAGGAGATCACTAGGAATTTGCAGGGAAAGATTTGAGAAGCCTATGCTGCTGCAAATCCAAGCTTACAGAGCAGAAGCCGTTCGCGAGAATCCAAGCTCCAGCAAGGAAATCCGTTTAAATGTTTAGAAAAGGTGAGTCATACCAGTGGTCCCAACCACCCTTGTCTCGGATATCAGCCCTTCGAAGTATGCTGATTAAATTATTACTGCTATGAACCTCTGAGGGGCATTTCGTGGTACCCTGCTCACTCGTCTCGGGTAATCCAACGATTTGTGCATCTGAAGCAAACTTTCATCTCTTCACTCCGCGATATTGGGGAAACTCGCTCTTTAGTTCAATTGATTCAACCCTATACTTGCCAGGACATCCCGTTTCACGCTTCAGAACGTTATCGATCATGCACAGCAACATTGTTGGGTCCTGAAACATTGCTTTTTTGGTAAAAGAACTGTTGTCGTAGCAAATAGGACCACACCATGAGCGCCTGTCTAGTGTACGATTTTCAATAACCAGAATATATGAGCAGTTTTTTTTTGTTGTGCTATTTGCGGTAGTTGAGGATAACACCAATTTATGAGTCACTGTCTCGTTGGTTTGAGAGACTGCGGTGTGATGGCGAAATGGTCAAGCATGGTCCAAAGACTATAGAAGTTCTGCATCCTGACCAGACTGTCAACCTTGACATATGGCAAATTTGAGCAGGATGGCTACGTTGGTCCGTGAGATGATCAAAAAATCCTGCTTTTTCTTGCCGCATCTGCAGCATCACTCAGATCTCGAACATTTAGCTGTCATATGCGATGCAGCATGTTCTCGCAGGATAGACCGCAACTCCGTTGAAAAGTGGAACCAAGCGGCGATTTCTTTGGTGCCCTGTCAGTTCTAGGTGATCCGCTTTGGTGGGGATCGGTTTGGCGCAGCCAGCCCGTTTCAACCTTCTTTCTTGGGCAAACGAAAGACTGTTTTACATCGTTCGCATCAGTCGTTTTCAACATTTGCTCAGCCGGCCCGCCTTACAACTGGTGAATGACGGACAGGCGGCGCCACCCAGCCGCACTGACACGCCCACTAGCCGCAGTGAATACTATATAGCTGATGTATTTCTGAATCACCTTGCTAGAACCGACCCTTATTAAAGGCACATCCCGTGTTCTTAGGTGTGTATAGGCCATCCTTAAGATAGTCCCGTCCACTAGGACAGGCACAGGACACCACAAGTATCACACTCGCACATCAAAAACACCTGATAACGACGATGCACCATTGCGACGAAGGCATTCCCCCCACATCAGTCACTGCCCTGTTCCACACCGCAACGTCCACTTTCAAGGCAACCTGATCGCTGTCCTACTCTGCTCATAGCTATTGGATTGGTTAGAGTTAGATGATAGGAGGAAGGTGCTGAGATCGTTGTGGTACACATTTAGAACTCGTCCAAGTGCGCCCACTCTTTGCCTTAACTCTTACAAGCTCGCTTGGTTCAAGCTCAGTTGGCATAGAGCGTATTCAGGGAATTTCGGATAGTTTTTGCTTTTTATTCACTAGAAGATGATAACCATTATAGATAGCGTTTGAGCCCCACCACCTACCATTTTACCATTTTTGATCGTACCTCCAAGTGAGATGAACTAATAGTAATGTGCACTCATCTCTGTTGCACTCTCACTCTTATGACTCCTTCCCAATTTCTATCCCTATGCGACGCACACAGTACTTATGGAGTGCCACGGCAACGCTTTCCGGTGACTCGCGTTCACTTTAATAATTCATTTGCTCCTGTTCACCTTCCACACTAATGCATTTCGTCGCAAATGCGATGGTTTGGCGCTTCCCCTTTACCGCAGCAAAATCCATCTTTCGCATTCTGGTAAGCGCTTTGTTTTTGAATATTTTAGCTTTAAAAATCACATTCTAGGTTGGCACTGAGGACGTCCTTCGCTGGTCACCTGTCGTTTGGCTTCTTGGCGTTTGTGTAGCGGGCACATTCATGAATCTCGTCTTCTATTGCCAGAAGAAATACAGGGAGAGGAAACGGCGACAACGAGATCAGCAAGTATGTTTGCAATTCAGGGCATGTTCAGTAAGAGGAAAACCGTGCAATAACTCGGGTGACTTTTATTGAGGCCGTGATCTCCAGCGTTCCTTAATGTACAACCTTTTGACCAACTTCAAATGGATTAATAGTTAGCTTTAGTTAGCTCCCAATAAAAAAGAAGCCTATAAACCTCGCGAAAACTTCTTAGTCATGACGGGGAATGTTCAGGGGCTAGACTGCTTTTCTTCATCTCCACTGGGAGAAATCATTGGTTATGTCTACTGCCGATATCGTCGCAATCGTTGGGGGGAGGGGGGGGGGTGGGGAGGGAGGTTAGCGAGGAGCATGAAGAGCCCACTGCGGCTCCTTCAGCGTCTCCAGCGATCAGTGGAGACGGCTGTTATCGATCACTAACCGGTCACTATTGTAGAAAAGGCACCCGGAGGCGAGCCCCTCCCGCCCTCTTGTCACCGCCCCGACTAATTTCGGCGATATCACTATAAAGTCCAGGAAACTATGGTATCTAGTAGGGGTAATACCTCGCCTGTCTCCATGCCTTGCCTGCCTTGCTTGGGTAATCGTTACAAATGGGAAGCAGTAGACTTCAAGTGTCTCAGCGGATCATTACCATCAGTGTTTCTTTGTCAGGTTTACAGCATTTTTGAAATGTACTTCAAATCGCCTACAGTTTTGCAAACTTCAGGAGGAGCTATTGTTCTCGTTGGCGATTCCGCGATCATATCCCTGCTTAGCGCCACCACCTCATCATAACTGCTGTCGAGCAACGAGACTCTCCATTTCGGATCGAGGCTTGCCATCGTATGAGGATGCTATTACGCACAAGTTAGAGGTAAATCCCTTTCTGGGTATTTCTTTTTATTTTTCGCATTGTTTGAATCGATGCATCCCCGCACCCATAGAGACAATTTCCAAGTGCCAAATGTGGTATCTAAACGACGGCGAGCAGCAAAGCAAGCCTTTGTACCAATCCGCTTCATATTGTGCTTCGCAAATGAAGCGATACGAGCATTAGCATTAGTCGGACATTGTGGCGGGCGGGCGCGGTGGGCGTCCGGGTATTTATGTTACAGCTTGATAATGCACCATAAGGGTACCTTTCCTGGAAAGACGCCACGCAGCGCCTGCTCAGGGCGCCAACTTCTCGAGCGGCATGATAACTCCTACACGTCTTGGGGAAGTATCGTGCCACTTGCCTTTTCGTGGAAACCTCCCTCACTGGGAATCCCATATATTTCGTAAATGAAACGCTTGGCTTACGCACCATTTCATTTTAGAGCTTCGAATCATTTATTGTCCAATAAAAACACCAGTTCCAGGATCATTCATTACCACCGAACTATTCGGACGCCATTTCGATGATGAATGCGTCAACGCCCGTTTCCGGTCAACTCAGAATCGGTCCAATCAAGAACAACCTGGTGGCAATTCTTAACTGCTATACATTCACTATTCTCTACGAATTCTCAGACCTTACGGAATGTTGCCTTCTCTTGCATAATCGTTTCTTAGTTACGAAACGGATTCTAGTGAGCGTTGATCATCATATGTAGGATGAAGAGCACGCTGCTGGCGTGCCTATTTGCTCCCACAGGGGCGGCGGCTTTTTACCCTCACTAGAATCAACGCCTCACTTTCCATATACCTCTACTTAAGGATGTCCGAGTAATCACGGTCATCATAATATCGACTATTGCTTGAACAAGACTTGTCATGCGTATGGGTCGAGACATCAGGAGCACGTCGCAATGGATATCATTTGTGGAAAAATTAGCGCTAGGGCAAATCTAATTTTCTTTCTGAAATTTTCTTTTTGCTCAGGTTGGCCATTTAAAGTCGTTTTCGTCGATGATTAAGGGGCATGGCGGGGGGAGGGGGGCTGGGCCTTTCCGCGGTGTCATCCCGTTCTCCACTACTTGTTGAAGCGGTCTGACGACAACAATCAGCTGAAAACGCGCTGACGGCGCGAAACCGAGCTCTCCTGACACACCCCAACGTAGGCAGCGAAAACGACTGCACTGAAAACGATCTGGGAATGTTGAATGAATATGAAAGTAGCATTGCCGCGCCTCTTGTGTCTCTGCCAGCTGTAGATTTCCTCAAATTTATGTACTCAACGAACAGTTATATACATTGCCTACAAGTGCTTGTGAAATAGTATGCAGGAAAAATTGTGCCGGTGACCAAAGAGATGACCATTGACATCATTCACACCATTTCGGACGAATTTCCACACTTTCCTTGTAATTTATCTATCAGGAGTGTGTGAATTCGTTATGTATATACTATAGAATTCTGAGTATCTGCCCAATACTACCAGTTTCCATGAGTGCACTCCAGAATATTTTATGATTTTTGTTCATAGTAATAACTTTTTCATATGATTAGCTGCCTTATGTCGCAGAGTATCGATACTTGTTTCACTTTACGACGGGTTTTCACTGATGAAGATTCTTGAATCTCTTTTTACATTTCACAGCAACAGCCATTTAGTCGCTCACATCAAGGAATGGGCCATTGGCTTGAGCTATCTATTGCACAATTGTTAACGTCGCATTCAGCGAGGGGTTGTCAGAAGGAATAGAATGAACCCTTCTACAGCGCCTCTAGCACCTCCTACGATACTGCGCGGCTCCGGCGCGCTTTCCTTCTTCCACACATTTCATTAGCCGCCTAGTATCAGGCTCTTCTTTTACCCGAACAGGTGGTCAACATTTTTGACCAATAGCATCATACCTGCTCCTTTCAACACTATTACGGTGTATGGAGTGGTGGTAAGGAGCGTTGATCAAGTGGACAGATGAGAGAAAAGCCGGGTATTAGTCGAGCATTTGATCGTACGAATGTAGGTAGGCGCGATGAGCCACGCCCCGCAAAGCCGGGCCGTATCACATAGAGGTCGAAGTGCCTGGAGTGCTCTGGAACCGCTTGAAGAATTTTTGAGGCTGGCCCCGCTCACCTTGACGCACGCTCCACACACAACAGCATTCTGTCGCCTTAAAGCGTCTTGCTTTGGAATGCACTCCCGCATTCAGCAGTGGAACGCGTTAAATGGCCCTCACTAAGGTTGTTGATGGAAGATAATTGTGGTAAGAGTGATTAAGTGAATTGCTGCTGTTCATAACATCTCTGTAAACAAACCCCATGCATTTGGAATAGAGCTAGCTTAGCGGTCGTACATGATGTCGTTACTAATAAGCAGTGAGGAATGAGTTCTGTTGGAATCATTGAGATCGTTATACTTGAGTCATATCGATCGCATTGTTGTTGTGAGCGGTGAAGCGGATTTTCCCATGTTACCTTGTCACTTTTAGCTCCTATCACTTCCGTACCCGCCAATAACACTCCCGTCCCGTATCACTATCATATCACCCTGTATCGCCTCTCGGATCCGAGGTCCCACTGTTGCTGTAACCTGCGTTACGAATTTGATGACCCTTCCCTTACGAAGCCGCTTATCGTATCTTATCAACTGTTATCACTTTCTGTCATTTCAGTCACCCGCCAATATGTTCCCGTCCCACACCCTATATCACCTCACGTATCTAAGGTCCCCACTGTTGCTGTAACCTGCGTTACGAATTTGATGACCCTTCCCTTACGAAGCCGCTTATCGTATCTTATCAACTGTTATCACTTTCTGTCACCCGCCAATGATGTTCCCGTCCCACACCCTATATCACCTCTCGGATCCAAGGACCCACTGTTCCTGTGAGCCGCACTGTGAATTTGGTAGTCCTTCCCTTCTAATGCCCATTATCAGATCTTATCAGCTGATATCACATCCTGTCACCTACCAATAATGTTTTCGTCCCACCCCCTATTTCACTGCTCGGAACCAACGTCCCACTGCTGCTGCACCTGCGTTATGAATATGGTGACCTCCCCTTCTAACGCCTCTTATCGTATCTTATCAGCTGATATCACTTCCTGTCACCCACCAATTGTGTTCCCGTCACACCGCCTACATCACTTCTTGAAATCAATGTCTCACTGTTACTGGGACCGGCGCTATGAATTTCGTGACACACAGACAGACGCACACACAAACATACACACACACTTACAGACATACTTAGCGGATTATATATAGTAGGATAGTACAAAACTTTCATTCATCAAACTAATCCGAAATAACTGAAAATATTAAGAAGTCGACATAATCTCGTGACTAAACAGTACAACTCATACTCTGGTTCGCTGCGGATGATGGGGCGTGTCCGCGATCGCGCTTGGCGCTGAGCCAACCTGTTTTTTTTCAAACGACTACCATATCGTTCGTATCAGACGTTTTCCAGCAGTTGGTCTCCTTTATCGGAATCAGCAATTGGCGGAGCACGAATCTGGCGGCGTCGACAGGGACACGCTCCATCATACGCAACGGAAAACACTGTAAACAAGTGCGCCATGGACCTCCCTGAATCCTATAGACACATTTGCTCGCGTGGACAGACATTACGCACAACACCATCCCATCACCTCTGCGCGGACCTCAGTGCGCGGCGCATCCAAAGTTAGCATGATTGGCGCTAAACAAACCACATCCTGCTCCTGCTCCACCACAGGATACGTTCTACATGTATTTCTGGCTATTCGAACACGCTCGCTTGAAACCGTACACAGAAAACGGACTTTCGAACAGTTCGGAGTGTTCCCCAAATAATCCCCAACGCAATTATCTCATGACTCCCGGAAGCTTCAAAAAACGTTCAAGTAGTTTTTGGAAAGAGCAAATCTTCTAGAACTCGACAGTAGTTTCAGATTCCCAAACTATTGAGGTTCAAGGGAAATATCTTGGTTCAAACCTGTAAAACTCGCGCTGCAAACTATCCAAAAAAAACTCCCCAAAAACTCCCCAACGCAAATTTTCTCTATGAATTTGGCGACCTTTATGAACATGTCAGTATGTTTTGGAAAGCTCAAATCTTTCTCTATACGACTGCGTTCTTTTCTTTCCCACAGGTCCGCTATTAAGGAAGTTATGGCCCTTTAAAGACACCCTACTTTCCTGAAAATCCGCGCTCCAATCAAACCACCTGCAACCACCTTGCGATGTGGGTCCTGCCCAGAATCCCTTCCTCCTTTAAACAGCTGGTTTGCATTTCGGCTGGTTCTCCCTTCATTTTTCTGATTTGTTCGATTTTGCTGAGTTTTGCGTGTATTTATTATCTTTAACTTATTTTATTATCTTTAACTTATCTTTTATGCTGGCTATCCTCTTATCATAGGATGTGAATTATTTCATTAGCAAAGTAGATGTTGGTAGAATTGTTGGTAGATAGCAAATGTTGGTAGGACTTTTGGCACCCTTCGGCTTGAAGGAGTTTGTTTTGTAAACTACTGTGGAGGAATTTCAGCGAATTTCAGCTTAGAAGTGTCCATTTTATAAACCTCTGCAAACTTCTGGAAGGTTAATCCGCTCATCCCATCCGTACCACTTCCCATGTACTTCATGAGCCACTTTTGCAAGAAACAGGTATTTCTGCCGAGATTTTTTTATTTATTCTCAGGAAGATTGATGAAAACATGTATATGGTGCATCAATTTTCTCATGATTTTCCGTTGCGTTTGCCGTTCCTTTTCCCTTGAGGAAACACGATCATCATGAAGTGATCGTGTTTCCTCAAGGGAAAAGGAACCTTTTGCATTGCATATGCTGCATTCATTTCCCAAAAAAAGGGAGGGAGGGGGGTCGTACGGACTCGACCAAAATCCCCAAGTGCCCTGCGTCCACCACCATATGCCAGCGTCTCGAGGGGCTGGGAAAGTGCGGATATCGACATGTCGTCTACACTTGACATCACCGCAACTGTCGGGTCGCAATCAGCGGCTCGCACCTGCGGCTAAATCGATCTCCATCAGACCGCCCATTTGGACCGCACTGCACAGCCACCTCCGACAGTCCGCAATGATGAGGACTATACCAGCGACCAGGAGTACGGTATCATGCATAGTAGGGTGCGACTGCACACGCCACAGCATCGTTGTATGAAACATGGGGAGTCGTGCTTGCCGCTGGTAACCGGGGGGTCGTATTCGGTCCTTGTTGGGAGGGGGTGTCGTGTGTGTGTCTTGAGAGAAATTTCCCGCGTTGGGAAAAAAGTTTTCCCGGTTGTTGACGTTTCGCAGTTTTTCCCGTTTCACATTTACTATATACTTTCCCTAGCTCAGCCCCTATTAGATAGTTGAAAATAGTAATTGGTCTGACCACCTCCCCCTTGCCCCCCCTGGATGGAAAATTTTTGGGGTAAAGGTAGCGAATTTCCGAGAAATTTCGAGGAAGCTGGGAACATTTAGGAAAGTGGTAGGTAGGTGTTAGGGAAGGGAAGAGGTGGGAGTCGTAACGAGACCATCGTTTAGGGGGGGGGTTCGTACTAACACCACCATTTCACACATCACAGTAGTGTACCTGGCCACAATTTCGCGACCCTTACACAGCTGTCTGCTCCCTCCTACTTCTCCAAACTCACTCTACCACGTGTCTGCTTTGCCCTCCTTCCACGTACTTTCTCATGGTCGCTGGTAGATGCTGGTAGACGCTGCCGTTTGCTAGATCGATTTATATACTTTCCTAGTCGCTGACGGACCTTCAAAACGCTGATGGTCGCCGGCGGACGCTGTGGGTCGCTAGTGTACACTCCTGCAAAGTATGAACGCAGCTTTAGTGTTTCTTGCTTTATATACCGTTAGGACTTCACAGTTTCCACAATGGTGATCGGAACAATAAACCTATGAGATGTCACATATCTACTTGGCCAAATTCTAGTGCAGATTACTTCCGGTCCTTTTAAAAAAATTGGTGTACGATGGCAACGATGACATATGCTGCACAGTAGTGGAAGTGACACCGCATAGAGCTTCTTTGAGACGGCCGATTCCGAGCAGTCTATCGAATATTCCACGATATTCCGTGCTAAAAATGTCAAATGTACATATGCATTGTTTGAAGTCAATGTTGCCCATAAAATTGAAAGCCAGTCTCCTTTCAAAGTGCATGTTTATGTTGTCATCTACACCACTTGTAGAGCGCCCAAACATCACGTTTTTAAAGGAGTCATTTCATCACTATTCTGTTCATTTGCGAGGGTTTGTTCAAAAACATCGATACCGCTGGGTCCCACTCCCATTTTTTCCCGACTGTTCCCGACCATGTTGAAGAGCGTTACTCTCCAGTCGTAACAAGTGCAATGATGTGGTGACGTATTTTGCATTCACCACGACATAGCAGTATTGCGGCGGATCGACCTCTCGACTTTCCGCGTCCCTCGCGTCCACTAGCCCACTCCGTGCCTGATTCTGTCTAGGTAAATGAACGGTCTCCCATGACCTACAGAAATACAAAATATTGTGTGGGAAGGGTAGTGTGGTCCGGAATGGACAATCGTGTGCCAGTTTCGCGGTAGGATAGTGTTAGGGCGTAAAGTTACTACAGTGAAACCTGGCTTTTACCAGTGAATCAGCCTGCAGACTACGCTTTCGAAGTCCGGCTTAAAGCCAACTGATACCACTGGACAAATAGCATGAAGCGTATCTCCTACGGTCTCTTATGGGTTCGCGTTCACTATGGAGAACCAGTCGAGAGGACTCTCCCAGATCCCACAAGACTACGTGCTGATTCGTCGTATTTTCCTGGAGTAAGCTCGCAGTAATCTTCACGAATAGAGGGAAAATCGCTCCCCTCCTTCTCTAAACGGACGTTTTGTCCCTGAAACTTTTCTCAAAAAACCCACTACGCAGTTACAAGCTACGAGTTTCGGGATTCTCGAAATCGTGGATACTAGCTGAGTTACGAGGGATGAAGAAAAGAATGAGTGGAAATCGTGCAAATAGGTCAGGTCACCATCAACCCGGAAGCGGCATATCTCAGCACTGGGGCAACATGTCCGTTACAGTTTCTCCAATCTTTCAATATATTTTTCCCATCTCAATTCCTGAGTCCATGCATTTCAGGGGATGCTCACTTTAGGGCTCAAAACAGTTTTCGACTGCGGAACTCAGAAAATTGAAAATTTTTTGAAACAAGACTCTCATAAGCGGAGAGCGGCGAAAATCCAATGTGAGTGGATTCGGCTGGGAGCTTGCAACGCTTCCAGAAATGAAAAACTTTCGTACTTCTGAACAAATCCAGGATAAGACGAGTATTTGGTGGTGCGCAGGACACCGCTGAGAAACCAAAGACAAACGTTGCCTAGTGCCTACTCCCACTTCCCCCCCCCCCCTTAGACAGGGTGGCACCTTCTGCAGAGGGCACATCTTCTGCTTTTGCAGCAACGCCTTCATCATTCACTGTAAAGCAGCGGAAGTGCGTTAACCTTTGATATTGCGGATCACCTACATAGAAAACGAAGATATTTTAAAAATTAGAGATCGTAGCTTAAGTTCTCCAAAAAATCTCCGCGCCCGTGCGCTTTGTAGGTTCCCTCTTTGTTCAAATAACTTGGTCTTCAGTCTCTAAGGTCATGCCACTTTCGCGGCTTCACAGTAAGTTACGAAAGCGCTGTGGCGCTCACAAGTGGTAGTTCTGACTCCTCTAGTTGTCCCCCCACTAAAATTACAGACATTTAGCGGCTAAAGGTTCGTAATTCAACGCCACTGTTCACAATATACAGTCGCGCAGTTTGCATTCAAGAAAAAATAGATTTGAGTTGACATGTTTGGGAAGCTCAGAAAAAAGTAATCTGATACAGAAATGGAATTTGGCGAAGGGTCTGGCTCTCAGGACAAACTTCTACCATCTTTCGCTGCACATGATGGTTTGTCCTTCACTCACCTGACTGCATAGTACACGAAGAAGGTAACAGCAGTTCCAAGATCGTTGAAGATTCCCGCGGTCATATTCAAGTATAAGCTTTCGATGTTTATACTCAAAATATTGCTTGTATAGCCAATAATAGTTGTACTAAAATATCCAAACACCACGGCAAGGCTTATAACAATCAACGATCTGTAGATGGTTTTTATATTTCCAGTGCCTGAAAGCTGAATCTTTGGAGAGGTAGAGAAATCGAGGTGCTGATCCGAATCGGAGTACTGGAAGAAGCTTGATGTTGCACAAAATTCCTGAATCTTAACGAACGTCTCCTTTAAGTTTCCAAAACAGACAGCAGAGAGCTACATTTGACATCGTCGCAGCATGTCGGTGCGTTGCCAAGAGCACTGGAATGGGCCCATTCGCGGCGCTTTGTATCACTAGTTGTTTTCTTCCTGAATCGATCGTTGCTGCAGTATCACCAACACGCCTCACCATAGCCGAACGCTCTTGTTGTGTGCGCCTTCTCGCCCTCCTGTAGCTTTCCTTTCTACCGGTAGTGGCAGGACTGGCTGGCTACTGATCGATTTAGGAAGGGAATAACCAGCGGTAAAAATGTTATGGGTGGGTTCACTCTATGCGTCCTGATGCAGCCGCAACTTTGATTCCGACTACATATATCAACTGTAATACCAAGACCGTGAACGTGAAGATCATAGGGATGGGATTGAAATGGCAATCAATCCACTCTTCCCTCTTCTGGCATGTTGAGCTCACAGAAGTGAGACTGGGTGTGTGAAGACCTCTGACCACGCTTACGCTGAACCTGTCGCGTGTCACCGCAGCCACCCTCCTCCCGCCCTTCTCTTCCCCCTTTTTAAACTTCTTTCTGTAGCCCACCATGCTCTTCATTCTAGCGGTTTGATGCTTTGCATTTTGTTCTTAATCGCTAGACGGTCACTGGTTAGAATAGATCATCCCTGCGGACCGTTTGCTCCTTTCTAGCCCCATCTAGACACCTTGAGCGATTTCACTCTAAAACAAGATTGCGAACTGCATATGTTCGATCTGCGAAAACGTCGAGTGAGAAGCGGCTACTATTTCTTTGAGGAAACCTGTTATCCCTGAACAGCGTACAGCATCGTTGTGCGAAACCCATCGAGAGGGTGGTACATGGCCGCTAAAAACACTAATTTTATGAAGCAGAACAAGCCCTATAGAGAACCCGGATGTGTGAAAGACTACGAAGAATGGAGCTAACTGACTAACAATATTGATAATTGACATAATTTCCCAAGTACGCAGATGACGAAGCAATACAACACGAACTCGCATCGGCCTTATGGAAACCCTATGGAAACATATGCTTGCAAAAAAGTTACTTCCCAGAAGAACCCATATCAAAAGAAGACGAGCTTCCAAGTGGCTCCCCATTTCGCCCATTGAACACTCACCTGCTGAAGTCTGCAAATTGAAACGCTTTTTGAGAGCATTGCGTTTTGCAAAATTGACTTCGGTTTTGCAGAAGATCGCTTCAGAAGGACGTAAGTGTCGTCCAAACCATAAAAACTGGAACTGTCATTAATCCATCAAAAACCCATCCAAAGTGTTTTTCACACAGGAGCAGATTCAGACTAGGTTAGTAAGAAAGCGCGGCACTGGAGCCATCGTTTTGATAACCAGCTTTGCGTCTCCCAAAAGCCTCGCGCACTGCGACGCCCACTATGTCAACAAGTCTGCTCCAGCGCTAATTTGCTAAGGGGTCGCACGCGGCCGCCAGCGCTTGCAAATCATTACGTACGTAATGGTTTTCGTTATAGCCAACGATCACAGGAGATCGTCACAGGAGATCACACATCACGATGCTGTGCCCTGTCCCTGGAAGAACACAGCTGGAAAAAATAGACAAACTCACCTATGGAGGTCTTTCTTAGAACGATAATGAAAACCGCATAACACAGGAAAATCAGGATACATATAACTGAAATTGACCCCAAGAAGGCCATATAGCATGCACCTAACATTGGTGTTGTTTTGATGCAACCAAGTTTTCTGAAAAATGGACTTATGCCACAGAACGGCGGTAACGCACAGATGACCATATCATCCTGATCCCAGAAAGTGCGAACGATTGTTAATAAGCTTCGAGGGAATTCATTTGGAGGTTCAATTTGGCAATTGGCAAATACAAAAAATACATACTTGTCTGATGTGCTGTAAAGTAAAACCCACACGTCGAATACCACCCCATATATGCATCCAGGTACAATCATGCACGTCATGTATAGCTTCCTTTGACAAGAAACCATAGGTTTGCTGAAAGTGTGCAGGCAGAAATTCCAAACATCTCTCATCTTGTGAACTCGGCATGTTAGTTTTTCGCTTGCACAACCTCGCTTGGTTGTGCCTTCCGAGGTTTTCATGTGGAATACTTTGTTTATCAGCCTAACGCTTCGACATAATCGTCTCTACTACCGTAGATACGGAATAATCCGCTATTCCACAAGTCAACCAGCAACGAACCGAAATAGGCAGTAACGTTAAGAACGACAAAGATTACATACAAGACGCTGCTCAAAGTTAGCAGGTAGTAAATGCATCACATATTGAGTACTCTTCTCTGGATGTTTCAAGAGGTTACTTGGTAGACCTCACATATGAAAAGCTGAAAAGCAATCCGGATCTACTAGCAGGAAAAGTTATGCCGTCGAAAACCACACCGGTTGTTAACCTTAAAACCCTCTGGCTCCAAACAGTAGGGGCTGAGGAGAATACGCGCCAAAAGAAAGCACATGTAGAGAGCTGGAGCTTCGGTAGCATGCGCGCGAAAGTGGAGCACTGAAGCCGATCGACTCAGCTCGCTAGTAGTTAGGAGTGTAGGATAAATGTGGATTGGGAGAAAAGGCGGGGAAGAGTCGATCAGTTTCTGCCTACTCTATCAGTGTGCAATCTCTTTGTGCTGCGTTCGAATTGCCTACAATCCTGTTTTTCCGATCGGGAATCGTTACTTATATTTTCCTTCCCCGTACCTTCTCTAGAGTCAGTAATTTGGAACGACCGACTAAACAACGACCAGTTCGTATTATTTATGCCAACAATAAGTTCCCTTGCTGGTTTCTGGGCTCCTCGAGTATAGGATAAAGTCACGATAGATGAGTACCCCTACCGGTATGCTACCAATTATACGATGATGTCAGTTAATAACCATAGATTACCGCTCGATCAACTGCTTCAACTAGTTAATCCAACAGATTCACATTCCTAGGCATCCATAACCTACCCACCTATTGCTAAAAAAATCAATGATATTAGAGGAGCTTGAGTCTGAGTTGCACGTGCAACACTCATTACTAGCCAGAATTCCACAGAGGTCACGAAATAAATTTTTATTTCAGTGGTATCAAAAAAGGAATAACATGTGTTCAGTGAACCTCTGGTCCCTCAGAAAAGAGCTGGTTGCAGTTCACTAGCAATTAGTGTAAATAATTATAGCAGAAATTCATTCTCATTGGCTTCAGTCGGCGGCTATCACTACCTACCACCCATCATTAACGCTGCCATCCCATCCTTCACATGAACTGCTAAGAGCGACTCCACAGGGTTGCTACGACTGCTAGGACCCGATCAGCCTGATAGCAGGAGTCTCTTGAAACATCCATGAGCCGAAACCCGTAGAATCAAAATGCACCGACGCGTTCTCTTTCTTCATAACAGAAAACGCTATTTGAGAAAAGCCCTAAAACCTACTAGAACATCCAAAGAGAGAGCAGTCTGTCTACTGCCAAACTAAGCAATAGCATAGTTGAAAAACAGATAGCAAATATAGGCAGCAGTTGGATATATATGCAAATATCCAAACGAATTTCAGATATCCTGCAATTGATTCATGACGAAAATTTATGCATATGAGCTTTCGAAGACGCTACGTATATGACCATCACTTTTTGCTTTCCAGTTATTGAACCTCGTAGTACGAGAAAGTTCCTGTGCAAATTAGGTAACACGCTTGAACCTTCTATTTCTCTAGAATATTGTGACTATTACAATTACACTATTAGTGCTTTATTGAAAAACCTGGTATTCTCCGTAATAATGCGCCTAGAAATGACTTGAGCAGGTAGTACATGAAAACA